TTCGACGAAGAAAATAAATTGCAAATAAATAGAAAACATTCGTTGTTAAACATAGAGCACATATTGAGTCATTCCCAGTAAAAACATCTTATTATTCATCCAAAGTTTTGAAATATTTGCCTAGCGGATTAAATATTAAAACAATGCATAGTTTGTTTATAAACACCCCAATCTGACAAATAAAATTAAGTATGAGCACTACCTAAGTACTTTCAAGAAAACTACTATCTCAGATTTGGATGTCCTCAAATTGACTTGTGCTCAGAAAGTGAGAACTTGGGATCAAGAATACGCGACTAAAACTTAAACGACAATGCTAAAAGAGTGGCGGCAGAGCAGCTCATGGTCCACAAAAGACGTGCTAATAAATTTTATTATAAAAATTAGAGAGTATCAAATCTTTGTAATACAAATCCAAATGTAGCCGCACGATGTTTTAACTTTACGCAAAACCTCCTTCTTCCGCACATGCCTGTTTAAGGTATTTTATTTTATTATTTTTTGTTTTTTTGTTTTGTTTTGTGATTTAGGTTCCCCAAGAAGACCTAACGGTCTTATCACAGAGAACTGTGGAGATGCATTTAACTAGGAAGTTACGCCTCCTTCCTTACTGTTATGCGAAAATATGTCAAGAGTTTGTTTTGAACCTCAATCTCCTGCTTCTAAGGCAAGTGCTCTAACCACTGCGCGACGGCTGTTATATTTACTATCGTCAGCTTTGTGTAAATACCTTTGAAACTCACAATCTGGGAAACAATACGGGCAACTCTTATTTTTATTACAAAGGAATGGCCCGAAAATGCCCAAATAAAATATGTACGCTTCTACGGAACTATATATTCACAAAAATTCCGGACTCTGTTCAAGAACTTCATCTATTTTCTGATGGCTGCCCTGGGCAAAATAAAAACCGTACCCTTGTTCGATTTCTAGTAGATTTCTTTCGCGGAGAAATTCTTTCGCCTGTGACTTTGGCACTATCAAAAGAAATATACGAAAGCATGATCGCATCTACCTTGTGGATGAGTATATTGATTTGATAGTCACTAGCAAAAAAAATTTCAAACCGTTTACGGTTACGAAGATCACGCACGTGTACATTTTAAATCTCAAAAATTGGTGGCCTACTGTTTATAAAAAAGTCCCAAAATCCATCAGAGACAACATACGTGACCGTACATTTTCTGTATTGGATTATAAAATGTTTATGACATTACAATGCCTGGGTATGGTACAACATCTGACTTTATTGATGGACTATGTTCCAGAACTTTTAAACTTGTAAAAAATCGAGTTAAGCAACAACTGCCCACCAAGTATAAAATTCCTCGGAATCCTTGTCGATGAAAATTTATCCTGGCTTCTCCATATAAATTACATACATTCAAAAGTTACCAAAACTATTGGCGTAATGTATAGGGTTAGACCATACGTCAATATGTTAAGTCTCAAACTAATATACTTTGGACTGATACATTGTTTTATTAATTATGCAAATATATTATGGGCAAGTACGCAAACTTCAAAATTTCAAAAAATTTATAGGCTCCAAAAACACGCTTGCCATATTATATACTGTAAACATAAACGTGAACACGCAAAACCTCTAATGAGAGATATGAAAATGATGGATATATTTGAAATAAATATTTATCAGCATCTAATTTTTATGTATAGATACTATAACAACCTCAAGATAAGTTTGAAATAAATTCAAATGAAAAGTATGGTCTATGATCAAATAGAAATAAAAACTTTAAATTGCCTCGGAAATGTAACAAAATCTCAGAATTTTGTATATCTTATCGAGGACCTCAATTATGGAATGACTGTCAAAAGGAATTTCAATTTATGGTGAGTTCTTTAAATTTATTTAAGTTTCAGTTAAAAAAAGAAATTTTTAAAATTTGAACTTAAGATAAAGTTTTTTCTTTTTTCTTTTTTGATTAATTTAACCTTGTCTTGACTTTTTAATGATAACATTGTTATTATTCTATTTTTATACGAGCTATAAAAAGAAAGTTCATCAAAAACCAGTTGCAACAAATGAATAAAAGATGAATGATATTAAAAAGCTGGAATATTACATAACCACAAACGCAACTGAGTTTTATAAAAATATATATTCCTGGAAAACAACCGGCAGCGAGGAGGAAAATAATTAACTTTTTTTTTATTTTATTGCAACTATTGTTAATTTAACTTTTCATGTAAAGTTTGCAGTTTTTTTATTCCCTAATTCGTAAAAATTCAAATCGCTTCTCGGCCTAATGGCTAAGATCAAGTGTAGTACCTGTTCTTATTTCGGCTCTGGACCATCTCTCAATTGGTTTCGGTGTTGTTAGAAAGCAGAAACAGCACAAGATCGAAACCGTGACAGTCGATAGAGGTTCTTGGCGTAGTCGCTTTTTCAGTGTCTCCTTTTACGCCCGGAAATCTTAATGCGATCCGTCCACTCCGGACGTTAAATGGAGATAAACCCTTAAGTGGGCGCTGCTCAGTTTCGGCTGAGTGGCAACAAATAAACCCTTAAGTGGGCTACACACGGAGTTTCGGCTCCCTAATAAAGCCGCCTTCTAGGGCCTTGTGTAAGTCTGGTTTCAGCTTCAGCTGTCTCTAGATGGTCGGTAAAAAAAAAAAAAAAAATTCAATTGTGAGGAAAAATAGTACGTGTCCAAGGACTTTATTTAATTTTTGTAGCAAGAACAACTTTTTTTTTAATGAACTACTAATATATTAACAGGTTCTTAGGGAATGGAACGGGCCCCCGCAGGATTATTTGATGTTTTAGATACTGTCACGCATTGTGCAAACTCCAAACTTAAGTATGTTCATACCTATGCTAAATGAATAGGCCTTGCGAAAAATCATGATGGTGGAGCTTTGGGAACAAAAAACCCTCAAAACGTTTGCCCTCTCTGTCTACATGTGAGGGCACTGATTTAGTAAAATTTTACTAATTTGAACTAAACTTTAATTCATCGACAGATTTTAAATTTTGTAGAAGATACAAGTTATGACCATCCAAATTTCCAAACTCCCCCCCCCCTCAAAATGAGTGGGTTGTAAACGTTTTCCAAACGTGATAAGGAGGGGGGGGGGGGGTTGGAAGAGAAAGGGGAAATTTTAGGGCATTTTATTCCCAGGCCTCCATTGTCCCAATTTTTTGCAAAGGATCATTTTTGGCATAGGTATAAACATGCTTAAGTTTCAAGTTTGCACAATGCGTTAAATCTGAAACATCAAAAAATCTTGCATGCACCCATGCGTGGAAAGTTTTATGAGGCCACAAAAATGCCTTTTTATATAAAAGAGAAATTCTAAATGAAAAAGTAACAGAAAGTTGTAGTTGTAAAAAAAAAAAAAAAATAATAATTCTTAATAAATGGAAAATGTGTATCAAAAACTGTGATATGGGGCCATCCATAAAGGACGTCATCCAAATAGGGGGGGGGGAGGGAGGGGGTTGAGTTAAAAAGGACAAAAAAGGACAAGGGGAAGGGGGAGGTTGTCAGAAAAGGACGTCACTTTATAGATTTTTTATTTTAGTTTAATTAACATGGAAAACTACGTAAACATATGTTTTTAAGAAGATAATATATGAGAATATTTTTCAAAGGTGTAGCAGCAGATTCAAACATCATTGCGAGATGAAATAAATTTTTTTGGAGTTAAAAATAGGGGGGGGGGGGGGGAGTTCAGGATTTTATCCTTTTCAAGGGGGGTATAGGGAAAAAGGACAACCGGTGAAAAAGAAGGGGGGGAGGGGGTCAAAAATTGGCTAAAAAATGGTGATGTCCTTTATGGATGGCCTCTATGTAAATATGTTGTTTTTTCTAAAAACGTACCTGATAAACAATCTTAGGCAATCCTTTAAAAATAAAAAGTATTCAAAAGACACCATGCTGTTAAAATAAATATTTGAAAGCATGGTGTCAAAATATGTACTTTTGATATGTAAATTGAAAGATGGAAAAACTGATAATTTTATATAAAATTAGTCAATCCTTAAAACAGCGTCTGCATATAGCAACATTTTCAAAAAATGTATATTATGCCTACAAAAAAAGTTGAAATAATTACACATGCGAATCAAGATCTTAAAAAGATTTTAAAAATAAGACTTTGAAAGAAAAAAAATCAGAATTGATTTCTAAATGCAGACACACACAAATAAGTTTCTTTTAAAAAACTTTAAAACCAAGTTAGAAAGCAAAATAATGAAAGAAATCCCCATTAAAAATATAGATTTTAAATTATTTACATTTAGAAAAATATAAAAAAAGTTGCTTGGTCATCTTTAATTTTTTAAAATGAAAAGACACTAAAATAAAAAAGTGAAAAAAATAGCGGGTGGGAGCAGACATTTTTTGAAAAAGTTATTTTTTGGTACACCCTAATATATATATATATATATATATATATATATATATATATATATATATACATATATATATATATTATATATATATATATATATATATATATATATATATATATATATATATATATATATATATATATATATATATATACATATATATATATATATACATACATATATATATATATATATATATATATATATATATATATATATATATATATATATATATATATATATATATATATATATTATTAGGGTGGCCCTTAAAACAACTTTTTTGAAAAAAACCTGCTCCACCCCCTAAATGTGTTATATCTAATACAAAAACACTAGGTTTAAAATTTTTTTGAATAAAAAATATTTTAAGGTGACCCTCAAGACCTTTGAATATTTAATGGGTCCCTAATATTTTCAAAAAAAAAGTTCTTCAAAAATATGTCAACCTGGTACTCAAATGAAGCGAATGTATATATATATATATATATATATATATATATATATATATATATATATATATATATATATATATATATATATATATATATATATATATATATATATTATATTGCGAACCTCCCAAGGCTATGGGAACCGATACAGTTGAGGAGGCTGC